CCCAACTCGGAAACTCGGGGCTTAAAGAAAATTTCGAGTTTCCCACTCCTAATAACGACTTTGTGGTGGCGTTCATGTGCGTTCAACTCGTAAATACGATCTATCCGACATGACTTGAACGCACCATATGACTAATTTCACGGGCAAAGCAGACAAAATTACAATTTACGTATGGTAATTTTTTTTTAATTTTTTAATTTTTTTTACAAATAAAGCTTCATATTATGAGAAGGAATCGGAATCGGACTCGATTCCAAAAATTTCGGAATCTAACAGCCCTATGTTCCTGGTTAAGACTCAAGACATTCTCAACAGAGCAATGAATCGACGAGTCACTATGGAAACGGATGCTAAGAAAAAGCGCGCCATGCTGTTTCTTTCTTCTTCTTTTGTTCAATGGTCGTTTACATGCTTAGTGCATATCGCCACCTAATTGATAGTTGTGCAATCATTTTAATTTTTTTCCGTTTAATCTTTAATCCTTGAGAATATGAATTATATTGTTTGTTTGATGCTAATTATATATTAAGTCATATCAGATATGTATTTTGATTTAGAATTTAGACATTATAGAAAATGCCGATCCATGTGTGAGATGATAATATCAAATGTAATAAATAAATATATGTAATATAATAAATTAAACATTACCTTGTCATAGTGTTTTATAAGTTATACAAATAACTGTTATATATGCCAATAAAATTAATATAATAACCATATTAGAATAATATATTACCTTATTTATTTATTACTTATATTAGCGCTTCATCATTAACATATCATACAAATATATATATATATATATAACCCGGGTATGTCACATAACCTGCTTTTTGGAATACCCCCCAGACTGTATTCAGTGTGTTTATATTGTGTATATCTAAAATGGATCTCTTTGCATTTTAATTCTGCTTTAGCTTGTTTCCTAGTACAGCTTTTTAATAAAGTTTCCATTGTGCATTAAGAATATTGCTGGCTGTGTGACGAATGGCTTGTGGCTAATATGCTTTATATTTTGAACAGCAAACTAATATGTGTGGTTAATGTAAAGTAATGCAGTATAAATTCAGTAACTTATTTTTTAATTCTCCAGACCTGGTCCTGTGGGTCTCAGTATCAATGATCACAGTTCACACCTACAGTGAAGCCCCTCCCACAACAATTCACCTATAAATACTGGAGAATATTCACATCATCCTACAAGAGAAGAACAAACTCCAGGTGCAGCAGCTGAAATCTGTGATTGTTAAAGATGGAGTTTATTAAAGAGGAGATTGAAGACATGAGTTATTCAGAACCATCCAGAATAAAACATGAAGATACTGAGGAACAAACAGGTTTGTGTCCATTCTTGATTCTTCATTACTGATTGCTGAGAAACATTAATGTAACAAAGCTCCAGTTCACTTGATTATCAACACATATTTTGTTTATTTTAGACTCGACTGAAGTAAAACCGCAAAGAATGAAGCTGAAAGAAGAGGAGGAGTGTTGTAAAATCAAAATTTCAAGAAAAAAAGCCAAACAGCTGCACACATGCCCTCAGTGTGGAAAGAGTTTTACTGCAGCAGCAAGTCTCAGTTATCATCTGCATGTTCACTCTGGAGAAAAGCCATTTAACTGTGGTAAAAAGTTTCATGCATCATTCAATGTAAAAAAACAGAAGAAAACACATTCAGACGAGAAGCCTTACTTGTGTTCTTTCTGTGGGAAGGGTTTTTCAAGGCTGGACAATTGTAAACAGCATCAGAAAACACATAATGAAGTGAGAGCTCATGTGTGTTGTGAGTGTGGGAAGAGCTTTACTGCAGCTGCCTTTCTGAAACAGCACCAAATGATTCACACTGGAGAAAAATCTTACAAGTGCTCATTTTGTGACAAGTGTTTCACTCAGTCTGGAAGCCTGAAAAGGCATGAGCGACTTCATACTGGAGAGAAGCCGTATCACTGTACTCAGTGTGGAGAGAGTTTCAAACATTCATCAGGTCTCCGAAATCATCTGCACATTCACTCTGGAGAAAAGCCATTTAGCTGTGATCAGTGTGGAAAAAAGTTCATTTCTTCATCAACTCTAAAAAAACACCTGACAGTTCATTCGGGTGAGAAGCCTCATGTGTGTTCTTACTGTGGAAAGAGTTTTAAAAGCCTGCACAGTTGTAAACTGCACCAGAAAACACATAATGAAGTGAGAGATCATGTGTGTTGTGAGTGTGATAAGAGCTTTACTACAGCTGGCCACCTGAAGCAGCACCAAAGAATTCATACTGGAGAAAAACCTTACAAGTGCTCATATTGTGACAAGAGTTTCATTCAGTCTGGAAACCTGAAAGGTCATGAGCGAGTTCATACTGGAGAGAAGCCGTATCACTGTACTCAGTGTGGAAAGAGTTTCACTCAGTCAACAACTCTAGTGACTCATATTAAAAAGCATTGTTCTGTGTCAGAGTGAGCAAATGTTTTCTACAGATTCAATCATTCAACTAAATATTGTGAGATTCAGATACAGTAAATATGAGATTAGCTCAAATAAACTAGTTTTGCTGTGAAATAGATTTGTGGGGATGTTATTTTCTGTTTTGTTGGAGAACAGCAAAAGTATTTAGTCACTTTAAAGGGGTCATATGATGCGATTTCAATTGTTCCTTTCTCTTTGGAGTGTTACAAGCTCTTGGTGCATAAAGAAGATCTGTAACGTTGTAAAGACTAAAGTCTCAAATCCAAAGAGATATTCTTTATAAAAGTTAAGAGTCAGCCACGCCTACCTAAAACGGCTTGTTCTAACATGTCTACGTCACGATGTGGGAAGATTTGCATAACGCGCCCAAATACCGCTCCTTCGTCGAATCCGCCGGCCGCGCCGTTCTTAAGCCCGCTGGCCTCCGCTCACTCTAGCCCGCCGTGTGTGACGCTGTGTTTCGTTGCTGGCCAATCACAGCACACCTCGCTTTTCATACCGATGAACTTTGTAAAAATCGACGCGTTTCAGAAAGGCGGGGCATAGAGGAGAAACAATAATTCATAAGTTCATACTGGAGAGAAGCCGTATCACTGTACTCGGTGTGGAAAGAGTTTTATTGCATCATCATGTCTCAGAAATCATCTGCACATTCACTCTGGAGAAAATCCATTTAGCTGTGATCAGTGTGGTAAAAAGTTCACTTCATCATCATATCTAAAAAAACACCTGTTAGTTCATTCAGGTGAGAAACCTTATGTGTGCTCTTTCTGTGGAAAGAGTTTTTTTTACGGCTGACTCTATAAACAACACCAGAAAACACATGATGAAGTGAGAGATCATGTGTGTTGTGAGTGTGGGAAGAGCTTTACTAGAGCTGACCTTCTGGAACAGCACCAAAGAATTCACACTGGAGAAAAACCTTACAAGTGCTCATATTGTGACAAGAGTTTCATTCAGTCTGAACACCTGAAAAAGCATGAGCGAGTTCATACTGGAGAGAAGCCGTATCACTGTACTCAGTGTGGAAAGAGTTTTACACAATCATCAAAACTTCTTACTCATGAGAAAATATTGCAAGTGAGCCACATAAATTTTCGTGTCAAATACATTCAAGTAAATTGTGTGAGATAAAATATAGAGTTGGTCTTAAATAAACGGTATATCAGTTTTGTGAATGTGGAGGTGAAAACTAGAAAGACTTAAGAGTGGAACTTCAGTCAACTCTTTCAATGTGAATAAAATGTTTTTGCAAAATCACATTTGGGTGCTAAGTAGGTCTTGCTTAAAATAGACATATTCATGTTATTTACAATTTGTCAAGTGTAGAATTTACGAGAAATAAAACAAAAACATATTGCTGTGAGTCTGGGAGGAACTTTATTGTTTTCTACATCACAGTGATCTATGTCTGTGAGAATGTAAAGAAAGACTAATGTTGAGTATTTACCCGGTTGAGTGAACGCTGGCGTGTCTTTGCTGCCGCTGCTCCCTGGCTTCTTCTTTTTAATATTCTCCGACAACTATGTGGATTAACTATGTGCTTGTGCTTGCCTGGACTGTCCTGTCTTTTGTACATCACCCATCGACAGCACTGCTCCAGTACTCTGCCGCTGAGCTTTTGAGGTTCTGCCCATGTTTGCACGATTCACCACCACCTGCTCTGCTTCTGCACCCGGACATTTTATATTTCGTCGAAAATATATTCACCGTGGCTCTCGACAGAACTTTCAGTACGACAAATCCAACTCTATAAAGTCATTCTGGTCTACTACTCGACGTCCACCGAGGAATACCGGTCGCCGCGCTGATCACTGTGTGTTGGCCCGCCTAGCTAGGTCGGCTAACACGGCTGTCAAACTCAGTAATACTACTGTCAACTTTGGTCTTCTTAACATCCGCTCACTTACGAGTAAGGGGCATCTTGTGCAGGATCTCCTCGTTGACCGTAAGTTTGACTTTTTATGTTTAACTGAAACATGGCAGCAGCCAAATGACTTTATTTCACTCAATGATGCTATTCCTCCGGGGTTTGCTTACATCTCTCAACCGCGTGACTCTGGTCGAGGAGGAGGTCTCGCGATAATATATTATAAGAAGTGGAGGATAGCGCCTGTGAATGTTCCCATTTGTCACTCATTTAAGGCTACAGTATGTCAGCTCTCTGGACCTACTCCCACTATTGTTGCCACTTTATACCGTCCACCAAAGCCTAACAAGGATTTTATTACTGATTTAGCCGCTTTCTTGACTCACACTCTCACCAAACATAATACTTCTTGGGGATTTTAATATACATGTGGACAATGTTAACAACATTCTTACCAAAGATTTCAAATCTTGTTTGGACAGCTTTGGACTACAGCAATATGTAAACTTTCCCATACACGTTAAAGGTCATATTCTGGATTTAATATGCTGCTCGGATGTTTCACCTGTTGATTGTAAAGCAGATTCTTTCCCTCTTTCTGACCATATGCTGCTCTCATTCAGTGTAAATCTCTCACTCTCCAAATCCAACCCTCCACGCATTATAACATTCCGAAAAATTAAAGACATCAACTTGGACAATTTATCCTTTAGCATCACTAGCCTCCCCAGGGCCGACAGTTTTTCTACCCCGGATGAACTGGTCTCTCACTACAATAACAACCTTCGAAATCTTCTCAATAACTTCACTCCACTCAAAACCAGGACTGTTTTATTTACTGTTTCTGCACCTTGGTTCACTCCCTTTTTTAGACAATTAAAAATAAAAGGAAGACAACTCGAAATACTTTACAGGAAAACTGGCCTCACTGTGCACAAGGACATGTATTCAAATCATATTCTTCACTATAAAGACTGTATTTCCAAAGCTAAATCCACATACTACTCTGGTTTAATTAGCTCAAATGAAGGAAATTCAAAGGCCCTTTTCTCCCTCCTTAAAAATTTCACAACACCCCCGGATTCACTTCCTCTTCATCTGTACTCCTCTGATTTCTGTAATACTTTAGTATAATTGTTCTCTTCAAAAATCGCACCAACACATTCACCATCAAGTCAAGTCACCTTTATTTATATAGCGCTTTTAACAATACAGATTGTGTCAAAGCAACTGAACAGCATTAATTAGGAAAATAGTGTGTCAATAATGCAAAATGACAATAGTAAACACTAATTTTTCAGTTAAAGGCAGTTCATCATTGAATTCAGTGATGTCATCATCCAGCTCAGTTCAGTTTAAATAGTATATTCAACCATCAACGTATGTCCACTTCTGTTTTGAATTCACCTGTCCCAGTTTTATTTGCCCCCTCTCATTCACTCTCAGCATTTACCTTACCCTCAGTAAATGAAATTTCTAAACTCATTCAAAAATCCAAATCTTCAACCTGTAGATTGGACCCCCTTCCGACTGTTCTTGTAAAGGCTACCCTCTCCTCTCTGCTCCCTTTCATCACAGATATCGTTCAGATATAACTTCTAGTGGCTGATTCTAGTTTACTATCCAATTTTCTTTTGCTTGATTTGAGTGCGGCCTTTGACACAATTTCACATACTATTCTTCTGGACAGACTTTCTTCTATTGGTATCACTAACACATCCCTCAAATGGTTCCATTCATACCTCTCTGGCCACACTCAGTTCATTCAATTAAAATAATTTACCTCTCATCCAGTCCCTGTCACCACATGTGTGCCCCAGGGCTCTGTCCTGGGGCCCCTGCTGTTTATCATCTACCTTCTTCCTCTCGGTTATATCTTTCGCAAACATCAGGTTCATTTCCATTGCTACGCAGATGACACCCAGCTCTACCTTTCTACCAAACCCAACTCCAAACTCCCACCATCCTCCCTCACCAATTGCCTCCTTGACATAAAATCCTGGTTCACTTTAAACTTCCTCAAATTAAACAGCAATAAAACAGAACTTATTCTTATAGGCACAAGATCTACATTAAACAAATTTCAGAATTTCTCTATTCCCATTGATAATTCCTTTATCTCCCCCTCCCTTCAGGTTAAGAGTCTGGGTGTCACCTATGATAGCACCCTCTCTTTCACCTCCCATGTTAATAATGTTACCCGGTCTGCTTACTTTCACCTTCATAACGTCAACCGTTTAAGTCCTTCCCTCACGCTTCACTCCACTGCCATTCTTGTTCATAGTCTAGTCACCTCTCGTTTAGACTATTGTAATTCCCTTTTGTTTGGCCTCCCACATAAAACCCTCCATAAGTTACAACTGGTTCAAAATTCAGCTGCCCGTATTATCACTTGCACCCCCTCTATCCATCACATCACACCCACGTTACAACAGCTTCATTGACTCCCCATTACTTACCGTATTAACTACAAAATACTTCTCCTCACTTTTAAAGCCATTCATAATCTTGCACCTCCATATCTTCTTGACCTTCTCCATATTGCCACTCCCGCTCGCACTCTCAGATCCTCTTCTTCCATTCATCTCACTGTTCCCCCTGTCCGACTCCCTTCTGATCTTCGTAACATTGACTCTCTCCCGCATTTTAAATCCAAACTCAAAATCCATCTGTTCAGCATAGCTTACTCCCTTGGATCACAACTGCATTGTGTTTTTAATTGTAATGTATCTTATTGTCTTTATTGTTTTGTCTTGTTAATGTTGTACGGTGACCTTGAGTGTCAAGAAAGACGCCTATAAATAAAATGCATTTATTATTATTATTATTATATTTTTAAACTAATTGAAATGTCTTGTAATGCTGTTTGATGTGCTGTCAACCAATGCAATGAAGAATGAAATACTAGTAGATTAACTGATTCATATTTATGATGATACTGTATTTGCTCCGTACAGAAATGTGATTTACTTAATATGTGGCCCCTTTAAGAAGGAGAGTTTAAGTATTTCAGTACTAATACAGTGAAACCCATTATGTGTCCAGGTTTATTATTAATTAGAGTGTAATATGTTGGCAGAGAGTGTTGCACCCAATTGACACCGATAAAACACGCTTAATGTGCCCATTTACAAAAGATATCAGGCATCACCATAATGAATGA